TTCAGCGGTCGTCATGCACGCAATACACGCAAAAGTACTAAGGTGTGAAAATACGCAGTGCGTATGCTCAGATGTAGTACATACACGTACTCCTATAGTTTATTGCCCCTTTTTTCCTTCTTTATAGTTTATTACGCGTTTTCTTGGTGCCAGTACTCCGTTTTTAGCATTCGAGCTCAAGCAACAAATGAAGTGTTAATTATGAAAGAACCGCCTTTGCGAGTAAATAATGTTTACATATGTCCGTGGCAGCATTTCACTGCAACTCTACTTACAGACAAAATGAAAATAAAAATAAAATTCTGCTATAATTCCTTGTCAAAATAAACTCTATGGACTATGAAAAAATGATAAATATGTATGTATGTATGTATGTACGCATGCTAGTCGGCCAGCTTCACATGAGAAGAAGCTCTTTCTGTTTATAATAAATCACAGATTTTTTTTCTTATTTTCGAATAACTGTGCAAGTGCGGTATGCTAGTTGAGAGTCTTTGATTTACGAGACGCCACACTGCAGGTCTTCCCTCGCGCCATACACTGGAATGGATGGAGTGTAAGCGACGTGAGTGATTCATTGATTAGCTTCACTAATTCACATGTGTACATAAGTTTGTATAAAATGAAAAAATTCGACGCTTTATTAAATGCATTTAATAGGAGAAAGTTGCTAACTTGTGAGTTTAAGGAGAAATTAAGAAATTTACTATTTCGTGTTGAACAACTTTCTTTTATGGCATTGCCGGTAAGCTTAACAAATGAGTCGTTGTGTTTTTGGCCCTGAATTTTATTTGAAGCTGCAAATGTATGTATGTACATATATAAATATGTAGTCTTAATGTGGAAGTGGTATCTTGTCATTAAATTCTTTTTATTTATCACGGACGGTAATCATTAGGTTCTTTCCCGTACGCAACGCGGTTCCCGCGGGTGCTAAAATATCCCAGAAATCATTCCCGTACTCAACAAAATGGGTAATAGAGAGCGAAAATTGGAACGTATTGGATCGTAAGTGTATTCTTCTTCCTGCCCGAAACAGCCAGCACTTTTTCTCCGGGTAAAAATGGATAAAGCGTCAAAGTGCATATCAGCTGTTTTGTGTTTACATGTTTCCTGCATTTACGTGGTGCTTTTAAGGAATAGTGAATGTATTTGCAATCTTTATATTCTTGAAATCAAATTTGTGAAACCAAAATTCAATTTCCAATTAGTGGCAAAAACAAAAACAACGCGAATGAACTGTTTCTCGAATTCTGAGCACGAAATGTGCTTTTTTGCGTTCCCGTACTTCTGGATTATGTTCCATTTTTGAGAGCAAAGTTTACGCTTATTCTCTAATTACCGGATCCAGTCCGGATTGTTAGAGAAAGAACCTATTATGAGTAAAATAATTTAAATCAGCATTTAATCATTATTTTATAATTTTAATTTTTTCCCCCTTAAAAATAGTAATTATTTTTGAGTTTTATTTTTTCGCTCAAGGAAAATAATTATTTTTTAATAAAAAATATAAATCGAGTAATAATAATTTCCTTTCAGCAAAAAAATAATACTCAATTATTTATATCTTATATTTATATCTTTAATCTTTATTGGTTAAACTCGAAATAAGAATCACTGTAAATTACAGTAGAACTTACGAACACAAATACGTCAGTATAGTTAAAACTGTTTTGAGACGATTACAACTTATTGATTTTTTTAGTTAAGATTTAAAAAATAATGATTATTTTCCGTCCCTGCTTTTTATTATTCTATTGGAGGTTACCTCCTATGCACTACTTAATAATTCAATTGCTTTTTGCTCTGTTGATATATTAATTGGTCAATCAATCAATGTTCTAATCTAAACATAGGTCGAGCTATGTATGTACATTGTGCATATAAAACTCGAGGTTTAAGTCGACCTCATACGGCTATTCTATAACTTTATCGGCGATAGCACAGAGGCTACTTGCAGCTTAGAGTGAACAAAGGCATCCCACAAGGGTGTGCTCTCTCACCTTTTCTGTGTATCGTGGTCGGGAATCTGGATAAGAGAACCTGTCGTGTGGTTGCCTGCGTAGACGACGAGGTACTTATGGTTAATGGTGGTAATGCGACCCAAAACTCTGTGTCTAAATGGCCGACTAACAGCGCCTTCACCGTCAATCCCAACAAGACACAACTGGTTTTATTCCCTAGGAAATGAAAGATACTCATCGCAACTCTTCGCTTTATTGAAGCATTTCGCCTGCAGATCTCTGAAAGGGTCCAGGTACTTAGGGTACGTACATATAGAATGCCTAGTGGCGGCGAGCTAAGCTTCAGCTGTTCCCACTAAATGAAGCGAGGCGGTGCTTGTAGCATGCAGTTAGCTTCGAAGATACTAGAAAATCACCTTTTACGAAAACCGACTACAAAATTGCATGGCATTTCCTCCAAAGATTTATTGAAAAATACATTTTTATTTAAGTTTTAGATTAAGTTTATTTCTTCGCAGCAGTGCCAGTGAGATAAGCATATTCTCCGATACTTAACCTGTCAGCTGACTTGACTGATGGTGCGCTTAAAACCCAGTCAAATTCATCGTTATATTTTCTAGTTGGACTTACATGGGTGTCAGGGCACAGTAACACTGAGGGAAGCTGCACGACTGGTGAAATGGCGAGAAAGTGTATCCTGTGGTTCACTCTGAGGCAGATGGGTCTCATGTCAGCTTAGAGAAGGTCCTTCTCTGTAGTGACTACCGATCAAAATCCCGGGGTAATGCCCAAAGGTGTTCCTAACCAGGGCGACCGCAGATACCTAACTGAGCGTATACCAGATGTCCTTACCACTCATCCGTCATTTCTAAAATGGAGGGGAACCCTTTTTATTGGATAATGCTAAAATTTGAAATACCAAGTCGAGCATGCTCTATCTTTTGGTCGCACCACCGAGTTCCGGTTTCAACCGGAAATAGGTTAAACGGATGGGAAGTCCATCATTTTAAATGTGATATACTAGCTTTTATTGCACCTTCAGAATTTGTGGACAAAAATAGGTAACTTTTTCAACTTCTAAATGACCTTAAAATTTTAATTCGTCCTGGACTTCCAAGAGATAGAAAAGTGTTTATGTTATTGGAAAACGGAAAAACATAAACCACTAAGTCAAATATGCTCTTTCTATAAAAAATAGTTCCTCACATTCTCTATGCCACTCAAAAAAAGCTAAACAAAAAAAGGTTAAGGGCAGCAAAGGGTTAAGAGGCCTACAAAAATGCTCCAAATTTCTCAAAACGAAGCACTATATCGCTAGCTTAGAAAGAAAAGTTGCTAAGTCCCATTTTAAAAACCTTACAGGAGAGGAAAAAATCTTCCTACAGCCATTTTCTTTAACTATTTCGCAAGACTTTGAATCAAACATTTTGCGCGTTTAAAGCAAAGCAAAACTCCATAGGAATCAGAAAGATTCGATATTTATTAAAAGATGTCGTATTATTTTGGCCTTATCGGATTTGTGGTGCTTCTTTTGGACTTAGCAAATTTTCCTTTTATTGCTTATAAAGAGGCAAAAATAAAACAAGTACCTTTATAATTTTCGAAACGATGCGTATTCAATTTCTCTAGCCTCCTATATCAAAATATGAGTTTTAATAAAAAGTGGACTTAGCAACTTTTCACTCTAAGCTAGCGATATTTCAATATTATATACACTCTTTACAACTAGATAGAAGTAAAATCAGCTGTATATTTGACTGCTTGAGGACGTTAAATGCCCCTATCACCTCGAAAGCTTCATGCAATCCATATAAAGATTACCAAGCACCATTTCCAAACTATTTGACAAGAATCGGTTTTCAGGTGTTTTCGAAGACGTTAATTACAGACCCATAGTCAGATTAAAGAGATTCAAGATAGTGAATACAAAATGGTGAACAAAACTGTCATTTTTTCTAAATCCGTATCCCATGTATCGTAAGCTGAAATATAACCAATGGTTGTTGCTTGGATACTTCCTAAATAAATAAATGGTCCGTGACGTTGCATTACACCAATTTTCAGCTTAATTGGGCTAACCGTTTGCGAACTATTGAATTCTTTCCGCTTTTCGTTGATATGGAACCACTGTGCGCCATACCAGTGTTGTGTTAAAAATGTCACATGGTCTTCTACACCACTAGTGGATGACAGGTACCAAGATCAACGGAAATAAGGTCAATTGACACTATTTCGCATACTGGTGCGCCCGTTGGCGGCGACAAGAATACAGTGTAAGAAAATTCCTTTTCTATAATTGTTTCCTTATACAAAAGGTTTCTTTTCCACCTTAGACATTCTGAAGTCGTTCAAAATATGACAATTTATAAACACAATTATCACAGTGTTCCTCCGGGGTTTTTGGGCATGATGGCAATCCACTGTTTCTTCAATTGAATAGTGTTTATTCTTGTGGAAACGAAACATGTTTTGCAAGTTCTAGATCAATTCTACATGCTTTCTTCAAATATTTCTCGTATTCTAGCTCCTTTTGTGTTTTTTTTTTTATTATATTCGTAATTTAAAGTTTTTTAATAAAATAAATTGGTGGGGTTCATGATTCTGATTAATTAATAGCACACTGAGGATTTTGCAATAACTTCTGTCATCTATGGAAACAACAGTTACAGGGCACTGTTTATTGAAACAACATTCATCATAGCTCACGTACGATGCAAGAACAACATTTTTTTCTTTGAATCGATATACTTTAAGCATTGTTGACGCTTTTTCCATTTGGATTTGTATATAACGTCATTTACTTTATTTCCAAATTTTTGTTGACTTTATTTCGCTTTTGAAAAGGTTATAATGTCAATTGGCGAAATAGTGCCAATTGACCTTATTACCGTTGATCTTGTTACCTCTCACCCACTAGCGACCAAAGCATTGGAAAAGAGACAAACTGCCTTTTATTTTTTTTTTTTTTAATTTTCAGGAACAAATTTTTATTTTTATGTTTTGTAAGTTTTATATAAATTTTATCTTTTCCTTTTATACATTTGTATATTTAAAATTTTCTAATTTACAATACTCTTCATTGAATTTGGATTCAATGCGTATAACAATATATAAAATAAAAAACAATTATTTGTGTAGTATCAATTTGAAATAATGAATTAACTTTTAAATGCTTATAAAACTAATAGGACAGTGAATTTGTTTAAATAATTAATTTTTCATACGAAATTAATGAATTTTCGCAGCTTACTGGCTTACTTAAATACATACATATGTATGTATGTATGTATCTAAAATTTTAATATTTACTTCTTTACATATTTATTTAGTAATTTACAAAAAAAAAACAGTTAACTAACTACTTATTTCTTTATATCCTTATGTCTGCATCTATGTATCTATCTAAGTCTATCGTCTAGGACAGCAACGCCATGGCACGCGCCAATCGTACGCGAAAATCACGATACAGCATTTTACCGCCAACCGGCACACGACACAGATACATATCGAGGCTCATTAGGCACAACGCCTTGCCGTTCATGGGAAATTTTTGAGGCAGTTCAGGCGTCACTTCCAAACCTTCGGATACCGCCATATTGATTAGCCATTTCCAGACATCGGCGCGTGTCCAGTCGCGCGGATCCAATGGTAGACCATCGGAGCCCATCTGCTGCAGTGA